GTGTGTGTACACGTGAAATCTTTTCTCTGTCAATTATAATTGTCTGCAATTATCCCTAACGACTAACGACAGCAAAGCCAATCTATCGCTACTGATCAAATTTGTTTGTTGAAATTGAATCATATCTAGTATCTCGATAAAATCGTAACGATATATATACATATATTGAAATCATTTCTCTCTCGATTGTAATTGTCTGCGTGCTTCTTCACGTTGTTCCGTGATATCAGCGTACGTATCGTATCCATCGTACGTAACGTTAAAACGCTTTTGAAATTTTGTTAGCCAAGCAGTTACCTATCGATCCTTCTCGAGTACTCTTGACCCTCGATTGCACGATACACTGCCGTTAAATCGACCCATTGTGCGCGTCCAACGCAAACAAACCGTCAAGGTTTACCATTAATTCAGATTGTAATTACTCGGCTCAACTTCCGTCAATTCGTTGTGTATTCCCGTTGTCACTTTCCGATTATAATCTTAACCTGTTTGTCGATTCATTGTATACATTTCGGTCGCTTTCGCCGGTATTGTTTGTAATTCAACTTCCGTCAATTTTAGCGTTGGATCAATAAACGATACGTATGTGCAGTTTGTTACGTATATTATTATAACGACATTTCGTTCGGTTATAGTCCTGTGAAAGTTATGATTTTTCGTTGAATTAATACCCTTCGATGACGGCCTAAACCTAAACCTAACCTAAACGATACGTATCTGCAATTTGTTACGTATATTATTATAACGACGTTTCGCTCGGTTATAGTCCTGTGAAAGTTATGATTTTTTCGTTTTCGAATTAATACCCTTCGATGACGACAGAAGAGAGCGACTGTGACGTAATTGATCGTCATCACGGTTACACGCAAAATATCAAATCTCGAGGGAAGCGAATGCCGATCGTACAACAACGCAGGTGACAACAGTGCGATCCATCGATCTCGTCTGAAAAAATTCGACAGAGAGACGTTTGCCCGTAAAACATCGACATCGCTATAATATAGTTCGTCTGGTTAGATGAAACCTTTGTATTTGCAGAGGGAGATGGCTGCTTGCTAATAACGATAATAATCCAGTTTGTAGCGATTGGTGCGTGCATCTAGCTTGTTATTGCTATCAATCGAGGAATCGTTCGTCGAGGCAAGAAATAATTCATAAGCGGAATTGTAACTTTTCAACTAAATTGGATGATCGTATCGTCGATCGGTAATGCATTCTACCTTTCTTTTTGTTTTTTTTTTTTTCTAATTCCTTCTTTCTAATCGAGCGACACACGTACACACACACACACTCTCGATTCTAATTGATCAACTGTTGATTATTCAGTTGATTATGTAGCGGTGTAAAAATTTTGTTCGAGAAGGAGAATCAGTCTCTCTCGCTCTCTCTCGGTCGAATCGATGACCAAAATATTTAGGTACACCATCCGAGCACATTCAGTGTTTGAGTAGAAATGCGTTCTCTTCGTCTCCGTCTCCCTTCTTGGAATTTGAATGAAGAGATGAAATTAATTCGCTGTATGTTTGAAACTAGGAATGGAAGGCATAACTACACAGCGTTGGATCACGGGCCGTCCGTTTGCGAAAATGTTGGCGAGTACATGGAAATGGAGAAAAGATCGAGGGACCGTGCCTTATCAATTTGTCAGGCCTATATTCGTAGAACACCGCGCTATAGTCTCGTCAAGCAGCTGAACAATCTCGGTAACATTCTCTCTCTCTCTCTCTCTCTCTCTCTCTCTC